AGTGTCATGGATTGTTCTCAATCATCATCTGGGAAGACCAGGTGATATCAATCTCAAAGGTTTTAAATGCCCAGACTCATCTGACCTTGCCCCAACAATCAGCACCATGGGTTTTTCTAAGCAGTTGTCTAGAAAACTGAAACTAAAAATAGTTGACGCTCACAAAGCTGGAGAAGGCTATAAGAAGATAGCAAAGCGTTTTCAGATGTCAATATCCTCTGTTCGGAATGTAATTAAGAAATGGCAGTCATCAGGAAAAGTGGAAGTTAAAGCAAGATCTGGAAGACCAAGAAAAATATCAGACAGAACAGCTCGCAGGATTGTGAGAAAAACAATTCAAAACCCACGTTTGACTGCACGATCCCTCCAGAAAGATCTGGCAGACACTGGAGTTGTGGTACACTATTCCACTATAAAGAGATACTTGTACAAATATGGTCTTCGTAGAAGAGTCATCAGAAGAAAACCTCTTCTACGTCCTCACCACAAAAAAAAATCATCGTTTGAACTTTGCAAATGAACATATAGACAAGCCTGATGCATTTTGGAAACAAGTTCTGTGGACCGATGAGGTTAAAATTGAACTTTTTGGCCGGAATGAGCAAAGGTACGTTTGGAGAAGAAGAGGCACAGAATTTAATGAAAAGAACCTCTATCCAACTGTTAAGCATGGGGTTGGATCAATCATGCTTTGGGGTTGTGTTGCAGCCAGTGGCACAGGGAACATCTCACGAGTAGAAGCAAAAATGGATTCAATAAAATTTCAGAAAATTTTGGATGGTAACTTGATGCCATCTGTGAAAAAGCTGAAGTTATAGGATGGCTTCTACAAATGGATAATGATCCTAAACACACCTCGAAATCCACGGGGGATTACATCAAGAGGCGTAAACTGAAGGTTTTGCCATGGCCTTCACAATCTGCTGACCTCAACATAATTGAAAATCTATGGATAGACCTTAAAAGAGCAGTGCGTGACAGACAGCCCAGAAATCTCAAAGAACTGGAAGACTTTTGTAAGGAAGAATGGGCAAAGATACCTCAAACAAGAATTGAAAGACTCTTGGCTGGCTACAAAAAGCGTTTACAAGCTGTGATACTTGCCAAAGGGGGCAGTACAAGATATTAACTCTGCAGGGTGCCCAAACTTTTGCAGACGCCATTTTTTTGTTTTCTGTTATTTTGAAAGTGTAAATGATGGAAATAAAATCTAACTTTTGTTGACATATTATAAGAATGTCTAATCTGTAATTTGATGCCTTTTGGAGATTTTTCCATCTTTCCTTGGCTTCTTTATGCGCATTAATACAAATTTTTTAGCTGAGGTGCCCAAACTTTTGATCCCCACTGTATAAGATTCAGCAAAAATATTTCCACCTGATATAGATGGTCCTCTGAAAAGTAATAAGAATATATATCATCACAAAAAATCAAACAGCATCATAATATTAAAAAAAAAATAAAAAAAAATTGAGTTGCACATCAAAAGAAATGCTAGATGATATCACAACACATAATCAAATAATGAAAACCATTCTGCATGGCACTGACTACTCCAAAATATAAAGCATCAACCGAGGGCACAGGCCACTAATATGCAAGTGGCAGATTGAACATCAAAACATATGCTGGAAAGAGAACCAAAGCATATATATATGTCAAGGATCAATAAAAAGGAACTCCAACTAGGTTTCCAACACACCAGATAATTGCATATTCAGTGTGTCAAAACGTCCAGATCCATAATTATAAGACAGTATCAGACGGTGAACACTTTTCTTTACGTATACCTACATCGAGTGCCAGCTTGTTAGTTTGCCATGGCCAAATCATCCACATAACAGACCAAGATGAGCAGCCTCCCCTCTATATATCTGAGTTTGAACCAAAACCACACCTTAATCAAATTGACTTCCAATAAATGTGGGTCGTTTTTTATTAGCCCAGTACCTGACAAAGGGAGGGGAACTCTCTCACCTCTCCAAAGATATCCTCCGCTGAACTTCCATGCCGTCATTACGTCACTTCTGGCGCATGTGCCGTGACACGGTGTCACCTCCGATGAACTTCCATGTCGTCGTTATGTCACTTCTGGCGCATGTGCTGTGACACTGTGTCACTTCCGGTCAGGCGCGGTCAGCGCCGACACGTGTGTATGTCCCATTATTGCATAGCAACAAAATTACCATATGGAAAGCGGTCAAAAAAGATAGAAAACAATGGACCAATGTCTGGATAAAAGATGGTAAAAACCCAGAACATCCCGAATGTTGAAGGGAGACCAAAAAAGACCCCTACTCCACGGGGAACCCGTGTGTGAGGGCTACCCGTGCCGGATGCATCACAGCGAGAAAAACATGTATCAGCAAAATACAAAACAATTCCACAATATCAAAAAGTTTTATTCTTAGAATTCAAATAAGAGTGGTTGGGACTATCTGAAACAAAGAGAGGCACAAGGAATCACATCTGACTTCCCGAACCGCCCCAGTCAAAACAATTCCCCCCAAAATGATAGAAAAACCATTACAAACACAATCAATATTACTACACTTTTATGTATATTAATACACAATTATGTATAAATCACACAAAATACTTTTCCAGACATGTCCATTATAGATCTTGTTCTGATTTACCAGAGGTAAAGCCCTCCAAAAACAGTTTACAACTGTTTTTTTTTTTTTTTCATTTAAACCTGGATATATATTAGCTTTCAGAAAATGAATCCATTTAATCTCTTTTTGTAACAGGATTTTATTTAAATCCCCTCCTCTATTGTTCAAGTGAATTTTGTCTAGAGCCCAAAATGTTAACTCTTGCATTCTATATCTATGTGTTTTAGCAACATGTCTGCCAATTGGTGAATGTATATTGCAACTTGCAGCAGCATGTATATGCTATATCTTTATGATCACTCACTGTGTTCATTCAGGAAAGGAATGAGTAAATTACATATTTACCAGCCCCTTCCCCTGTTCTTCATCCTGAAATATCACCTGCAGCATCCACAGAAGAGGAAAGGCGGGTAGCCAGCAGTGGTGGCGGTGGTGGGGGGGAGCAGAAAGTGGAACCTGGAGAGGAGTGGCAACAGGGTTGACATTTACTAGAACCAATCCGCTCTATTTTCCTGCTGCAGCTGCTAAATGCTAGTGGAGACAAAGGAGGAGAAGCTGGCTTTCAGCTTCTGCAGGAGGAAAATACAGCTGATTCAGTTCTAGTTGGTTCTAGTAAATGTCGTTTCCGCTGCCCCTCCTGTTCAAGTGTGACAGGGAGGGCGCATGGGCCCCTGGAGCACGGGAAGCCACAGTCTGGTTTGAATAACGTGTACAGGTTTGAGGCAGACTGAAACCCAGACACATGATTCAATCCTAGCGGCGGCACCCCTCTCAATGTGGCACCCAGGGTGAGGTGGGGGGTGATTTCAAATCTAACTTCCCCTTTTTCTAGCTCAAGTCCTTTCCCATAATGTCCCCCCAGCACATATCCTCATTCCCTGGTCCCCCCCAAAATCCCTGCTGCAAGTGTACCCTTTTACCTGCCCCACTCCACTCCCCTTCCTGATCACTGTGCCCCCCTCACCTGTAAGTCTCCTTCCATAATAAACACTGCAGACCTCAGATCATCAGGCAGCTCATGCAGAGCGGTGTCCCTCCTCCTCCACTCCTCCTATCTGTGTACATGACAATTTCAGAGCCGAAGAGAAGGCGGCTTCAGTGCACTCTGCAGTGTGTTCTACAGACAGCTGGTGGGAAGAGATGCTGGATGCCAGAGAGGTGCAGATAGCAGCATGTAGAACTCCAAACACCCCACAAGAGATGCTGGGCAGGTGTGCCGAGTGCCCACGCTAGCACGCCCCTGTCAGACCAGTTACTGAAGCTCAGTGCTGGAATGAGTTCTGGCACTGGACTTCTGGATTCAGAACAGATTTGCCCGGACATCAATTTTTAAATCAAGTCTCGGGATAGTCCCAGCGAAAACCTGGACATGTGGTAACCCAAGTGGCGGTGCCCCTCTCGCCTGAGACACCTGGATTACTGCACATTCTGTACTTTTGCTGAAGAAACCCATATTAAGTAGTAGTATAGGGGAAGAGAGAGACTTATGTATATATTGCAAAACATACGTTTGTTCATTACAGCCCAACTCTGGGGTACTTTTTTTAGTCTCCATTGAGGTAAAGAAAATTAGCAGCTTTGGCTGCAATACTCACCTCCTCCTCACCCCTTGTGTTGCCCCATGCTGCCCATCATGTAACTGGCCTAAATACTTTTGGAAAAAGTAACTATGAAATAAAGAAAACAAATGCACAAGGAGGCTGCTGGAGGAGGGGGAGCACTAGGAAGTGGGAGGATGAACATTAAGAAACTGCAGTTGCATTTTTTTTTAATCCAAATAATGTAAACCCACTATATTTCAGTGGTTTATGACAAATGTAATGTCTGTTTGCTTTGCCTATTTTGGGGAAAGCTTGTTTCTAAAAGGTTTCCTAATAGCATTTTTGACCTCCTGGTTTCTTAGTGTGTAGATAATAGGATTTAGTAGAGGCGTCAGTACTGTATACAGCACAGACACCAACTTGTCTGCTGCATAGTTCACTGGTGGTCTCAAGTAGATGAATACACATGGTCCAAAGAAGAATGTAATAACCAGGAGATGGGCTGCACATGTAGAGAACGCTTTACGTCTCCCTTCTGAAGAAGGGATCTTTAAGATTGTGGTTATGATCCCAAGGTAGGAGAACACCAACACCACAAAGCAACTAAGTGAAATCATCCCACTGTTTGCTATTATAAATATATCAATAAAGAATGTGTCAGAACAGGCAAGTACAGCTAGTGGGTGGACATCACAGAAGAAGTGGTTAATCTTGTTTGGACCACAGAATGGCAGCTGGTAGGTGAGAAAAGCCTGGGTAAAGGAATGCAAGAAGCCTGCTAGCCAAGTACATGCCACCAACCGACGGCAAAATTTGGTATTCATGACAATGTGATACCTTAGTGGATTACAGATAGCCACATAGCGGTCATATGCCATGGCAGTCAGAAGGAAGCATTCTGTGCCACCAAATAAATGAAGGAAGAATAATTGCAATATGCACTGGTTAAAGGAGATAGTCTTTTGATTTGAGAAGACATTAACCAGCATCTTTGGGATGGTAACCGTTGAGTAACACATGTCCAAAAAAGACAAGTTGCTGAGAAAAAAATACATAGGTGAACGCAGACGTAGATCAGCATGGACTGCTGTCATGATGAGAAGGTTCCCTGATAAGGTCATCAAATACAGAGCCAGAAACAAAACAAAGAAAATGACCTGAGCTCCATGTGAATGAGAGAGACCACTTAGGGTGAACTCTGTTACCAAACTTTGATTTTGAAGATCCATATTCTCTTCTCAGGCTAACGGGAAATGCTGAAATTCTGAAAAATAAAGAAGTCGGTCATGACAACATGCCATAAACATAAACTTTTTCAATGTTCATATAACAGAACATTTGGAAATTAGTTCTATTATTTGTATGTGTCTAGTATTAGTTTATTACAATACTATAACAGTTTTTAACTCCTTCCATGTTTTTTGCTCAGATTTTTCCAAATTTGTGTTTTTACTGGACAGTTTTCTCCACTGCATAAAACTACCATTTACACTTCATCAAATATAATTACTAAACCTAATAAAGAAAAAAGAAACATGGAACAGAAACCCATAGCAAACAATTAGAATATCTTTGCTCCTTAAGTGGTGTATATTAAAATATAATGTTAATGTTTTTCAATGGGCAGTTGCACTTAGCCTTTTCAATGGTTTTTCAATGGGCAGTTGCACTTTGCCTGTATATGTAAAAATACACCTCAAAATCAATATATAACACTGGCTGATTTACTGACAGAATAAAGTGTTCAAAACAGTTCTCAGTACAAGGGAAGTTCATATGTTTTGAAGCGTATTTGAAGTTTACAAATTAGTTAATGAGCTATATGAATTGTCTACTCCATTAAAAATCAGCCCCCTAAATTTTACTAGTTTTGCAGAGTGTTGTTTGACTGTATGCAATGTACCTTATATGTATAATTTTCACTGGTTCAGAGTATATCAGTACATTTAGAAATATTGATTTCCTTTAAACACATTATTGACTCACTGTTAGATAACTTTGGAAAATTAAATTATATGTGAACCCTCACCTTGTAAAACAACCCATTCAGCTTAAAATAGAAATGAAAGACAAACCATTTTTTTTATAAGGGATCACATACTCTCTGTTCTCAGCAGCAGTGGGAGCTCAGAAATCTGGTGAAGGAGAAGCAGCAGTACACTGGTCTTCCCAGCGAATGGCTGTGCAGGGAGGCGTATTAGGACAAGTTTGGTCACTTGAAGAGAGCAGGTTAAGTTCTCAACACAGCCAGAGAACTGACCATGTTGTGATTGCATGTGTAGTGTAGCCAGTTTTTAATTGGAAAGCAGGGGACTGGCAGGAACACAAGGGATTTCATACAAAGTAAGCAATGCAAAAAGAACGGGATCCCTTTTCCTACAATTACAGTGAAAGAAATAAGTATTTGATCCCCTGCTGGTTTTGAATGTTTGCTCACTCACAAAGAAATGATCAGTCTAAAAGTCAAATGGTAGGTGTATTGTAACACTGAGAAACAGAACAGCAACAAAGAATTCAAAAGAAATGCATGTCTAACAAATTATGCACTGATTTGCATGTTCATGAGGGAAAAAAGTATTTGATCCCCTATCATTCAGCAGGATTTCTGGCTACCAGGTGTCTTTCATACAGGTAACAAGCTGAGATTAGAAGCAGTCTCTTAAAGGGAGTGCTGCTAATCTCATTTTGTTACGTATATAAAAGACACCTGTCCACAGGAGCAATCAAACAATCGGATTCCAAACTCTTCACCATTGCAAAGACCAAAGAGCTGTCCAAGGATGTCAGGGACAAGATTGTAGACCTACACAAGGCTGGAATGGGCTACAAAACTATCGCCAAGCAGCTTGGTGAGAAGGTGACAACAGTTGGTGCAATCATTCGCAAATGGAAGAAACACAAAACAACTGTCAGTCTCCCTAGATCAGGTGCACCATGCAAGATCTCATCTCGTGGAGTGTCAATGATCATGAGAACAGTGAAGAGTCATCCCAGAACTACACATGAGGATCTTGTCAATGATCTCCAGGCAGCTGGGACCACAGTCACCAAGAAAACAATTGGTAACACACTGCGCTGACAAGGATTGAAATCCTGAAGTGCCCGCAAGGTTCCTCTGCTTAAGAAAGCACATGTCCAGGCCCGTCTGATGTTTGCCACTGAACATCTGAATGATGCAGAGGAAGACTGGTTGAAAGTGTTGTGGTCAGATGAGACCAAAATCAGCTCTTTGACATCATCTCAACTTGCCTTGTTTGGAGGAGGAGGAATGCTGCCTGTGACCCCAAGAATACCATCACAACTGTCAAACATGGTGGTGGAAACAACTGCTTTGGGACAACTGCACCACATCAAAGGGACAATGGACTGGTGAATGTACCGTCAAATCTTGGGTGAGAACCTTCTTCCCTTAGCCAGGGCTTTGAAAATGGGTCATGGATGGGTGTTCCAGCATGACAATGACCCAAAACACACGGCCAAGGCAACAAAGGAGTGGCTCAAGAAGAAGCACATTAAGGTCCTGGAGTGGCCTAGTCAGTCTCCAGACCGTAATCCGATTGAAATTCTGTGGAGGGAGCTGAAAGTTTGAGTTGCCAAATGTCAGCCACCAAACCTTAATGACTTGGAGAGGATCTGCCAAGATGAGTGGGCCTAAATCCCTCCTGAGATGTGTGCAAACCTGGTGTGGCCAACTACAGTAAATGTCTGACCTCTGTGATTGCCAACAAGGGATTTGCCACCAAGTACTGCAGCTGCAGGCATCATCCTGGTATGGTTTTTTTTCAGCCGGCGATTGGCTTTCATGGAAAAGCAATCCTAGTGGCTAATTAGCTGAAGGATTGCTTTAACAAGCAGCAGGAGACTATTCCCCCCTCCCACACTGCCTTCCACTGCCTTCTCGGGCAGTCTTGTGCCATCGGGGGAACCTGAGAATGCAGCCGGTGTTTCTGCCAGCTGACCATAGAGCTGATTGGAGACTGTAATGGTGCCAATCATCTCTATAGTCTAACAAATGGAAGCTACGAGCATTTCATCACTTCAGTTTCACAGAATATAAGCAGCGCCATTTGTAAATTGGGAAAGCATCTGATCACACCTATCTTGGTGAGATTAGATAATGTAAGGGCAGAGGAGATATCTAGAGTCTGATAGACCCCAGATTTCTCAAAAAAGAATATATGACAATGCCCATTTAAGTTATAGGGGATATTTGCATTCCCTGTGATAGCATTAAAAGTGATAAAAAAAATGAAAGGGACAGTGTAAAAATAATTTAAAAAATCAAAATAACAAAAAAAAGCACCCTCAAACCTGCACGCATGCACCTGCGTGCGCGAGCTTTAACCCTGCGCCAGTATGTAAACAGAGGTTGCACCATGCATGTGAGGTATCACCGCAAACATCAGATCAAGGGCAGTAATTCTAGCACTAGACCTCCTCTGTAAATCTAAAATGGTAGCTTGTAAAGGCTTCTAAAGCATTGCCTATGGATATTAAAAATGTATGCAGTTTGTCGCCATTGCACGGGGCATGTGCAGTTTTAAAGAATGTCATGTTTGGTATCTATTTACTCGGCATACCATCATCTTTTATATTCTACCAAATAATTGGCCAATATATTGTGTTTTTGTGCATTAAAAGTAAAAAAAGTGTATTTTTTAAAAAAACATTTGCATTTGAAAAATCGCTGCTTAAGCACTATGTGAGATAAAAAAATTGCAGAACCCACCATTTTATTCACTAGGGTGTCTGCTTTAAATAAATATATAATGTTTGGGGGTTCAAAATAATTTCCTAGCAATGTGTGGCATAAGCTTCTAATGCTGGGCATAAATTGCCCCCAACCCCCAAAATGACCACTTTTTGGAAAGTAGACACCACAAACTATTTGCTGAGAGACATGTTGAGTCAATAGAAGAATTTATTTTTTTTATCACAAGTTTTTTGAAAATGACAAAAAATATATTTTTTTTTTACATAAAATTGTCACTTAAATGATTTTTTGCTCACACATATGTGGAATATGTGGAATTACACCTCAAAATACATTCTGATACTTCTCCCGAGTATGGGGATACCATATGTGAGAGACGTTTTGGCAGTCTAGCCAAGTACAGGACCCCAAAATCCAAAAAGCACCTTCAGGCTTTTAAAGGGCTTTATTTCCTCATTACACTTCCTGACTACCTATCACAATTTTGGAGGCCCTGAAATGCCAGAAAAGCACCCCTCCCCTCCCAAATGACCTCTGTTTGAAAAGTAGACACCCCAAGGAATTTGATAAGAAGCACGGTGAGTATTTTGCAGATCTCATTCGTTGCCACAAGTTTTTGGAATATGAATAAAGAAAACAAAAATATATTTCTTCTTTTTCTTTTTTTATATTTCAAAACCTTGTGGGAAAAAATTAGATCTGCAGAATACTCACCGTGCCTCAAGTGGTCATTGGATTTCAGGCTTCTGTATGTGGCTAGGATCCCACAAAGTCTCACACATGTAGTATCACCATACTCGGTAGAGGTAGCAGAATGTATTTTGGGGTGTAATTCCACATATACCCATGGCTTGTGTGAGAAAATATATAATTTAAATGACAACTTTGTGTAAAAAAAAATGTTTTTGTCATTTTCCAAAAGCCTGTGGAAAAAAATAAATCTTCCATGGACTCAATATGCCTCTCAGCAGATAGCTTATGGTGTCTACTTTCCAAAAAAGGGTAATTTGGGGGTGTTATTACTGTCCTGGTATTTTAGCACCTCAAGAAATATGATGGACAGTCAGAAAGTAAATGCTGTGTAAATTCCATTATCTATACCATAGCTATAACTTTCACACAAAGCAATCAATATACACTTATTGGGATTTTTTTAACCAAAAACATGGAGCAGAATACATTTTGGCCAAAATGTATGACAAAATTTGAGTTTTTTGGATATTTTTTTATGACAGAAATTAGAAAATATTGTTTTGTTTCAAACCTGTTTTTGTTTATAGCACCAAAAATAAAAAGCACACAGGTGATCAAATACCACCAAAAGAAAGCTCTATTTGTGTGGAAAAAAAGGACATACAATTAATTTATGTACTGTATTGCATGACAGCGCAATTGTCAGTTAAACTAGTGCAGCGCTGTATAGCAAAAAAATGGCGTAAAATTGCAGTATCTATACCATAGTTTGTAGATGCTATAACGTTCACACAAAGCAATCAATATACACTTATTGGGATT